CAAACTCACTGTTATTATTATTAATAATATTTAATGATCTCAATTCGTGCTTCGAATATTTTTGACTTTATATCGTAAACGTGGACAAACTCCTCTGGTTACTTTTGGTTTAATTTTATTTATATTTTGAGTAAATCAGATGCAGGGTGTTGTGACAAATGCTGAGAATTTCATTCTGTATTATAAGTACTGTTTTGGAATAAAGTAGATTATTATTATTATTAAATAATGACGTTAAAAGATTATCACTCAGCATTTATAGGTTGTATATTTGCTCAAATTGATATTTATGCCCAGTATTGGTTTTGTAGTGATTTTATTTAACTAGTTGAAGGATTTCGTCATGAGCTGACATCAGTTAGAGAACCAATGGAAAACCTTGAAGAATTGGACAGTTGTCTCGTCCTAGTTTGGGACTCTTCATCAGTACTCATCCACCACCAGGATTCAAACCTACGACCTTCTGGTTTCACGGCAAGCTAGCTGGTATACCATTCAGCCAAAGGGACTCGATCCAGTGACCAGCCCATGAATTCTAGCTTCTGCCAAATCATGACATAACGTCTTCAAGTATTCATGGGTCATTGGATCGTGTTCCAGTGGCTTAATGGTCTATGAGCTCGCTAGCCTTGTAACCAGAAGGTACTGGGTTAGAACTCTGTTGGTGGGTGCGAACTGATGAAGAGTTCCAAACTAGGCTGACAAAACAGTTGTCCAGTAATCCCTGGTAGTTTTCCAATGGTTCTCTAACTGATGTCATCTCGTGATGCAATCCTGCATTCAATCCAACAAAATCGATCTTTTACCCACTAGGGACTAACCCTATTCAGACAGTGACCTAAGGTTCTAGTGGGAAGTCGTAACCAGTAGGATGCAGCAGGTTGAAGGTGAGGACAATTACTCATCGAAGAAGAAGACATTGCGAAGTGGTCGCTCTATGATATTTATTTGGTGTCACAATGTTCATGTGTTTGGATGTATTTAACGTGAGATAACTGTGTCAGTAACAATGTTTATAGAGGAGTATTCAGATGATGTGTCCTTCTACCGAAATTCATGAATTCATTAAACACAGTTTTTTGTTTACAGTTGTTGTTGTTGTTCCTTGAATGTGAAATTTACTAGGGGAAGAAATGTTTCCAAGAATTAACTAAATCAATCAGCTTCTGATCCAACTTTAGTTGCAGATAATTATGACTAAGTCACAGCATTTGGATATCTCATGTCTTAAAGAATTCATTGTTGAACTAAGTTTCTACTTTAGAAGATAAAGACCAATTTTTAAGAGGATTGAGCTATGATAGTTGATCAGAATAAATTCTCATACGATTACTTGACATACACACACACACACACACACAATCTAAACTTCAAATAGTGTTACAAATTACAGTGTCTAAAGAATAAATTCGAATCAAATTGCATAATTCAAAATTGCTAAAGCTTATTTCTTCATCAGTCATTTATCAGTAAGAATGACACATGAGGAAATCGTCATTTGCACAGATCTTCCATGTTGAGCTACTTCTGAGCCACTTCGTATTGTGTTTCATCGTCTTCCTTTTGTGTCTCCCATATTTCACCTTAATACTGGTTTGTACTGTCTCTTTTTGACATTTTTGTCTCAGTGAACTTCTCTTTATATACTACTGGTAAATCTTTTCAGTAGTACACGTCACAAAAACGAATACAGCCGTTGTTAAATGCTGTTGGTCTCTATATTCATTTAAAGCTAACCCCCACTTAAAGAGAAAGACATTTTAGCTTTTCGGTTTTGGTCTGCCAGTCTTCATTATTTTGGTTACAGGATTTCATCATGAGTTGATGCCGGTTAGAGAACCATTGGAAAACCTGAGAGTACTGGATCGCTGTCTGTTTCGTCAACCTAGTTTGGGACTCTTTATCAGTACACATTCACTGTCAGGGTTTGAACCCACGACCTTCTGGTTACAAGGTGAGCGAGCTCGTAGACCATTAAGCCACTGGGACTTGATCCAATGGTCAATGGCCATGAATTTCAATTACTACCAATTCATGACATAGCGTGTCCACTAGCCAATGTCTTCGGCAAGTATTTTTCCTTACACCCAACCTGCTGTACCCTACTGGTCACGAATATATTAGTGTAAGTTACGGAAGTTTATATCGAAATGAGGTTACATCCTTTTAGAGTGTTAAAATATTTTAACGCTACTGACAGATACAGCGAAAAAAACAAACAACAGTCAACAATTGCAATTGACTTCAGGCGGACAACACAGATTGCTAATATTTGTCTTCAGTTTCTCAATGTCGCTAATGAATAAATTATTCCACTTAATCTTCAGGAGTTTTTCTGTGGGGATTTAATTTGTTTCAGTCTTGATCACGGATTGATATCAGTTAGAGAACCATTTAGAACCAGGTAATACTGGACAATTGTTTCGTCCTAGTTCGAGACTCTTCAGCAACATGGATCTCTGGAAGCGAATCAATCCAGTAGGAAAAAATTGTACAACAAATATGCGGGAAGAAATGGAGATGGATTGGCCATACTCTGAGGAAATCACCAAGTGACATCACATGACAGGCGGAGTGGTGTGGCTGAAACCCTATGTTCCTATAGCGACTAAAAAATACAATAATAGTATTATAATAATGTGGTGAGAGCTCCATTATGAATAAGATTTTATTTTGACAAATCACACAGTGTTGTACAGTAATATTAACTGATGACATTTCGAGCGCAAGCCATTGCTCATAATAATATCAATGAGCAATAGTTTGTGCTCGAAACGTCATCAGTCATCAGAACTCTGAAGAGATCGATTTATCAAAAGCTGTCATGGAATGGTCAACTGACAAATTCCTACATCTGGGTACCCATTGGTCGAAAACGAAACCTGGTCCGGTCACTTGTCACTCGAATTAGGCGCACATGTAGCCCTGATACTGTGGAAGATGAGGAAAATCCTAATAGAAAATGGATATCCACCACGTTTTATAGACAAGAATATACATTCAAATCCTATGAAACGTGATTTATCATCCGCACCCAAAAAATACCGTACATGAGGTTGTAATTCAGAGGTGACTTAGCTTCCGATATCATGAAAATAAGCATATCACAGCCCCTGAAAAGAACATTCCTTGCTGCATCTCTGAGAATAGCCTTTACTAACCGACCATTACTATTCAATAACCTGAAGGACAAGTTCCTGCTGCTGATCAACTCTATGTGTAACTCCATTATGGACAAGGTTTTATTTTGATAATTCACACAGTGTGTTAATATAACTGTACAACACTGTGTGAATTATCAAAATAAAATCTTATCCATAATGGAGTTATACTCTACCACATTGCCCAAGTTTTATACTTATATCAGTGGTGAGAGCTGTCTACTAGCCAAAATTACTAGATAATCATTTACGTCAATTAAATTAATATAACCCGTTGCACAAAAGGCGGCTCTTGTGGCCCAAGTGGTCTGGTGGATAACGCTTTGGCATGTAAAACTATGGGTACTGGGTTCGAGCCTCGGTGGAAACATCATCGCTCACTGTGAAATACAGCAGATGAGTCCCAGATAGGATGAAATGGGCATCCTGGATTCCACTGCTAGTCACCATCCACCAATTAAATTTACTTCAATGTTTACGTCCCCGATATTGGTTATATGAAAGACAAGAACAAAATTGACTCAACAACCAATCAGAGTAGACTTTGTTTCCGTAGGCGGATACAATTTGCAGATAGATAATCTGAACTTCAAGAAACGGCCATAAAGAGATGAAAAATTAACTTTCAGCGAGAAACCACCAATCAGAAGATTGTGTTTGTTTGCTTACAATAATCTATATAAATGTACGTGAGAATCTATAAATAAGTATGTGTTGATTTTGTAAATTATTGATCTGTTGCATGACTCTTGCCTTCCGTCGTCACAATAATACCCTTGGTTCATCTGATGTCCAGTCAGTTTAGTGTTATACTAATGTAAATTATCTCTCTCTATTACTAATGCTTTTGAGATGTGATCTGTCGATACCATTGTAACAAGGCAATTCAAAACAGCAATAATGTTGCTGATGACAGTATTCTTTTAAATTATTACTGTAGTAGAAATGTAGGACATGATGACGAATTGAACGAAAAGAATACTCTTTGTTCATTAATCAGTCTTTTAAATTAATTTACAGTTTGATTGGTGGATGATGAATAGCAGTGGAATCCAGGATGCGCATTTCCGCTGTCCTATTTGGGATTCGTCAGCTGGATGTACCTGCATTTCTCAGTGAGTGCTAGCCACCATCCACCAATTGTATACTAATTAAATGCCCAGACATTGTCGAAGCATCTGCACAAGAAGGCGACATGTCAACCTGAGACCAAGCACTTCGGTCCAATCAATCTACGGGAAAATCTAAAATTCAATTCAATTAATTTACAGTCTACGCACTCCAAGGTGAAACTATTCAAATCACAGTATATAATCTGTTTGATAGCATAAATAATAATCAAGAAGGCAAGTAGAATAGCATAAAACTGTAAATACTACCATTGGCTAGCAAATACTACTGGTCGACGTGAGTAGTATAGAACTACTCATCTTAATTAACTATTAGTGTGTAGTTTTATGCAATAATATAGCTCATTTTCCAGGGAATAAACTACTAAAATGTTGACTGCGGTTTCTTCGCGATTCCATTAAAAAGGCCTCAGTAGTAGTTAATTTATGTAATATGATCACTTCAGTATACAGTGATCAGTAAAAGAACACTGCTCAGTAAGGAGTTCCATGCTCTCCACGCCTCCCTTAAGTCTAAACCTAGACACTGTGATCTTTAAGGAAAGTGCTGATTGTGTTACATACTAGTCTTTCACAGGTGATCTAAACACTAATTAAATCTGAATGTCACACTTGATGACAGAGTCAATACTGAGATTACTTAAAATTTCCGCAAAACCGACATCTTTGAATCTATACGAATTAAAACAAAAAATAATAACCAATGAAACTTGAAAAAAAGTGATGTATACACACAGGAATCACATATTTTGTTTAAAATGGAAAAACAAACTAAATCATGGTCAGTTACAAAGAAAGAGATCAAAGATAAGTGATACACAGTTAATAATAATAATAATAGTGATACTGATAATAACGGTGGCATAATAATCTTTAGAAAAGTGTACTGTAAGGGAGGTTGTTTTTTTTTATTTTAAACTATAAGTATGGAATAGTATTTGATAATAGTTACTGTCAATAATTTCAATTCCATTGTAATCGTTGTTGCCTTGTCAACGTGACTGGTTACTTTATCTACGTCCGAGTTGCAGAATGATGCAACATACCAAGTGTAGAGAATTTCATACGTTTTTGTTTTTGACGTTGATTACAAAACCACACCCTAACAACATTCTTTTTCAAATTAAGTTTCTCTGCAATCTGTGAAATTTTCTCCGAGGATGGACGTGGTTGAATACTGAAAAATGCTTCAAGTGATCGTTTCTCTGAATCCGTTATCGAGGTACGTTTACGTCGTCTTTCTTCTTCTAAATCATAAATACTTGGATGATTAGAACGTGAACTCGCCTCAGCTTCAGCTTCTTCAAGCCATGCTTGTAGTACAGGTTTCAGGGCAATCATATTATTATGCGATAGGGTTAATGACTCGAAACGACATATAGTTGATTGAGACAATGACCCAACACCAGATATCTTTAGATTACCTAACGCTTTACCAACATCAGCTTGTGTGACACCAAGTTTAATACGTCTTTGTTTAAATAGCTCAGAGAAGGCTTCTAATTCTCTTGGATTATAATCTAATTCAACTGGATGACGATAGATTGATGTATTTGAATGATTACAGCTCAAGAGATTAGAATGCGTGAAATTCTGTGAAGAATATCCACCGGTTGATGCAGTTAAACGATTTTTGAAATTAGATGTTATCCCACCATTTGTTATTTGACATGATAAAGAAGAAGAAGAAGAGTCAGTATTTGTTGTGAAACCATTTACAGGCGGTAGGAGATAATAATTTAAACCGGTTTTAAAGTCATTATTCGCGCTTCCTGTTGCCATAGTGACATCGTTTGGTAGATTCATATTATAATCGCTTGCACAGTTATTATTCATCATCATGAATTGATGATGGTGATGATGATGATGATGGTTGTGCTGTTGAGAAAGACTACTTAAGCCTAAACATTGTTCCGTTCTATCATACACATCATCTAGCCTGTTATGATCACTTGAAGAGGTTGAGACAGGATGACTACTACTAATGGTGCTACTATTACTACCGCTATCTAAACTGAAAAAGTTTGCTGGATTTGTAAAACCTCCAACTAGACTGTTGTGTGAATTCAAATGATGGCTAGATGACGATAGATCATATAAATTCTCTTGTAAACAATTATTCTGTCCTCCATCATAAGGTGTCCGAGTGAAATTTGTTAAAAAATTATGTGATATACATGGAATCATTGAATCGAAACCGGTGAGATTACTTCGATTACTAGTACCAGCGGCTGTATCAGTGAGATTTTGCTCAGGATAGTTCATTTCATTATTATTATTACTGTTATTAGTTGTAGTAAATACCCCACTATTTGTTGTGCTTAAATTCCCACTAAAACGTAATTTATTCATTAGTAAATGATGATTAGTATTCCAACGATTCTTAATATAACTTATTTCATTTTCATAATTGATTAAATCTCCTCCTGGAGGAGGAATAGGAGGATGAGGGTTCGTTTTCCATATGAATTCATTATTAACATCTGAGCATAACTTGTCAGTGTGTTGATGAAGAGGGGGCGGATGTAAGTAGGAAGCATGTTGGGGATTTCCACCACGTATTGACTCATCATTTAAATTCTCTGTTGATTGTGATGAATAAGACAAGGGTGGTGAATGTCTATCTGTAGAAGTGCTCAACTTCTCTTCATAAACACCGCCATCTTTGCTATTACTATTATTATTATGATTAATAGTAGTAGTAGTATTATCAGTATTATCATTATTTTTGATAGGATTATTCATAAATGATGAATTCATTGAAAGATTAGTAAACATGCTATTTGATGAATTCGACTCCAGCTGTTCATTATTATTATTATTATTATTGTGATCAGATTTAATTTTTGCGATGAAATTATTATTTTCAGAGGTTAAGCGCCATTCTAATAAAGATGTAGCTGTTGCCCCTTCAGCGTTCAACATTCTTTGTGAATTTGTTTGCCCTGGTGAAGGCAAAGATGAATCATTTAGCGGGGATTTTGATGCCTGATTACCGCTGTTATTATTATTATTATTATATAACTTGAAATTCTCATTATTTGTCAGCGTTATCGAATTCAAACCTAATTCATCAATTTTTGTATTTTGAAATGATGCCAGATAACTTTTATCCATGATCACAGTATTCTTAACACTTTGATTATCTCTAATATCTGTTGGATGGCCTTCACTATTAAAGCTATAGCACAATTTCTTTGCAGGTTCATTAATTTCACTCATCAGTTTTGAGTGTAATCGATTAGGTTCATGATCTCTGTCATCAAAACCACTGCTATTATTATTATTATTAGTAGTATTAGCATTCTGAGTACTGGATAGTGTTGACTGTTTATCCTGCCTTTCTGTTATTTCATTTTTGTTGAATTCTGTAAAATAATTGGAATAATTTGTGAATTTATCAGTATTAAAACTGAATTCAGTCGGGTAATCTAAATTAGACGACGAAGAAGAAGATAATGATGTTGAATGCGTTTTAGGTGTGCTTGAAGTTATTTTCCCTTTCCCATGCGATGAACTATAGTCATATTTTGTAGCATTTGTCGCATTGATGTTGTTGTTGTCGGTGGTGTTGATGGTGGTGGTGGGGGTTATATCATCGTTTTCGTTGGTTTCGTCATTATTATCATTATTGTTATCACCACCGCTATTTTCATTTTGCATATTATTAAACCTGGATAATTCCAAGTTACTGTTGACTGTCGAATTCATCAGTGGATTGTTTTCATCACTTTGAGAATAACCTAAACACTGTGAATTAAAACGAATACGTCCAAAATATTCATGAGATGATTCAAAGCTGCTCATTCCACCGAGACATGCTGGTTGATTATGCTGCTGATTTTCCTCCAGTTGCTGATGATGACGGTGGTGATGAGGAGCATTATACAACGACCTTTGATGATGTTCATGAGAATGATGATGTGGATGATGTGGGTGATGATGGTTATGATGGTGCAGATGATGAGAATGATTCGATGTATATGATGTGTTCGAGTGAAATAATCGATCGAACCATTGATGACTAGCTATAGCTAGTATAGGATTTAATTTACTTGAATCAACAATATCATTGGAATATTTCATAAAATCGTTTTTATGATGAATACTATTACTACTAATGCTACTACTACTACTACCACTACAATGATCCCCTTTATTATTCAAATCAGAATAATACGAATCAGTGCTGAATGAATTCAACGGATCTGAATTCAAAGAGTTTGAATTGTGCAGTTTACGATAGGCATTCATTGATTTTATTGATTTTGTTGTTGTACTATTTGAGCATAAATTTAAATCATCTTCTGATAGACTTTCTGTTGAATTCATTTGAAAACATGGATATATTTCATTCATTTGTGAATGGTAAAATAACACGATCTAAGTAGAAAAGATGAAAGAAAAAGGTGTTTTAAGGATGTGAATTTTGTTTGTCTAAGAATAATTACATAAAAAGATTTCATCATGAGCTGACATTAGCTAGAGAATCGTTGGAAAACCAGCTGGGAGTACTGGACAGCTGTTTCATCAGCCTACTTTGGGACTCTTCAGCAGTGCGTACAGCTGTCCAGTACTCCCAGGTTTTCCAATGGTTCTCTAACTAATGTCAGCTCATGATGAAATCCTGTAACCAATCAAATCCTTACAAACCAACACTTGAATATCAATGAGATGCTCACTAGCGACTTGCCCTATTCAGGTAGGTAGTTACCTGGGGTTCTGGTGAAAAGTCATGACCAATAGGGTGCAGCCGGTCGGGTGTGGGGACAAATACTCGCAGAAGACATTGGCTAGTGGTTGCGCCAAATCGTGAATTGGCAGAAGTTAGAATTCACGGGCTGGTCATTAGATCGGGTCCCAGTGGCTAATGAATGGTCTGTGAGCTCGCTCACCTTGTAACCAAAAGGTCCTTCGTTTGAACTCCTGTGGTGGGTGCGTACTGATGAAGAGTCCCAAACTAGGACGAAACAGACAGGGGTCCATGACTCTCAGGTTTTCCAATGGTTCTCTAACTAATGCCAGCTCATGATGAAATCCTGTAACCAATCAACCAAATCCCTACAAACCAACACTTAAATACATAAACGGTTTACCAGTTAAAGTTACCTATGATATTCTACATGACAATTTGTATTTGTGTATGATGAGATTGTATTATTAACCGTAATGCTTAGCTTGAAATTAACTTTTACAAAGTCTGGAAGCAGATTAAATAGGCACAAGTTAATGACGGATAGGATTTGTGGAAGACTGCCACTCCTTCTAAAGCACATACGTGGTCTCTGATCATGTGCCCCTTTTTGCGCACGTACATGTCTTTGATTGAAATGATATAAGAAATACGAAACTTTCAAGAGTTGCTTTGTGGGGATTTGATTTATTTCCGGTTTGATCTCATTTACAGAAGCACTGAAAAATCATCCGGGAGTACTCGAAAACTGTTTAGCCACAGTTTGAGACTCTTCAACAGTACACAGCCAACACTAGGATTCGAACTCAGGACCTACTGGTTTCAAGGCAAGCTCGTAGACCAGTTGATCACTGGGACCCGACTCAGTAGCCAACCCATGAATTCTAACTTCCACCGATTCATGGCCTCAGTGTAGTCATTAATCTAATTGAATTTTAGATTTTCCCGTAGATTGATTGGACCGAAGTGCTCGGTCTCAGGTTGACATGTCTGTCGGCTTCTTGTGCAGATGCTTCGACGATGTCTGGGCATGTAATTAGAATTTAATTGGCTGATGGTGACTAGCAGTAGAATCCAGGATGCGCATTTCCGCTGTCCTATTTGGGACTCGTCATCTGGATGTACCTGCATTTCTCAGTCAGTGATGACGTTCCCACCGAGGTTCGAACCCACTGGATAACGCTTTGGCGTTTGAAACTATGAGCACTAGGTTGGAGCCTCGGTGGGAACATCATCACTCACTGCGGAATGCAGGTACATCCAGTTGACGAGTCCCATTTAGGACAGCGGAAATGCGCATCCTGGATTCCACTGCTAATCACCATCCACCAATTAAGTAGTCATTAATCGTTGTCATTTCTGGTAACTATTTGTCCTCCCTCTCTCCCAACTTGGTGGACCTCACTGTTCATGACTTCTCACTAGAAGTCCTGGTAACTTCGTCCTTTAGATAGTCACTGGTGAGCATCAGACTAATTCAAAGAAAGTAGTCTGGTGAGTACTGCCGAATGACTGAATGGTCTGAGAGTGAGTCTTGTAACTGGAAGGTCCTGTGTATGAACCCTGGTGGTGATGGTTGCGTACTGATGGTGAGTCCTAAGCTAGGACGAACCGTTTTTTCCTAACTAATATCATTTCATGGTTAAACGTGAAACAAGCATGAAACTATCAAGTCATTAGGTGTCCGGGTTTTTAATGAAAACGCCGGATTTGTATTTAGATAGGCGAAAATTAAACAAATATATGAGAGGGACAACATTACTCATCCTGAGCCTCTTCTAGAGGCAGTAGTGAAGGTTACTGATGACCTTCAGCTGCGTGTTAGTAAATGCCACTGGATTTTCACACTTCCACTGTGACTAATTGATGAAACAAGACTGCTCCTGATGGTCTTCGAATATCATAGAAGGAGTAAAAACGTGCACAAATGGAAGCTGACTAAAAGACATTGTAATAACCTCAAAATAAGTAGAAAAAGTATCAGTAACGGGTGATACTCGTTAATCATTTTGACACATCAGTGAAATAGACTCTGAAAGAGTATGTTAAGTGAAATGATCTCCTAAAAAATGAAAAAGCTTTACAGGCTTCTCTGAAGAAATACCTGAAACATTATTCAGAACACTTAGATCAGAGGTTCAGTGGATCTATACAAAACATTGCAGTTGTCAACTCCAGCCAACTTAAAAAGGTGTGTATCTAATCTAAAATGAAAGATCTGATGGTATTACTTTGAAGATATTTAGGATTTGTTGAGATCCGTTATTGGCTGTAGTGATTAGGGGATCAGAAAGTGTAGAAAAATCAAGAGTAGATCCAAGGAACTGGTATTAACCGTTTGTTGATCGCACTTTAACATGAGAAAGGAAATGAATTTTCCTTTAGTAATGATAGACGGAACAGTTAAACTAACTGGGGCTGGGAAAATAAACTGTTATAACCTAACAGGTTTTATTTCCGGAAGAAGGTGCACTATTCAAATCTTTATACTCCGATATGTTTCGAAACATAGGCATGCCCAACACCTGACATATTATTTTCATAAAACGATGTGACAGCTTATGGAAAGTTATCATAAGAAGCGATGACAGCCACTGGTGTTTTCCGGGATTACCCATTGTTACTATTCTTATTCAATTTCATAATCATAAATCTACTAAAGGATGTCACCTTAACCGGAGTCACTGTTTCAGCAATCCACAGTTATCAGGGAAATATCTTATTGATTTAGAATAAGCAATTGATATTGTCTTTTTATGATATAATACAGTTTTTTAAACACCTCAGGAGAAAATCTGATTACGTTTGACATCCGGTTGTGCTCTATTTTAAATATAAGATAATACATACAGCATCAACATGGTCTACATCGACTTTTAGTGTCTGAAGGTTAAAATGTTTTCATCGCTTCACTTGTTTTGGAATTATAAATAGCCATAATTGACTAATTGTTGGCGAAACCAATCCATTAAGTTCTTGATTACGGGCTTGAGCCATTTAACCAGATGTGGAATGCCTAAATGTGATTGATCCTCAGGACTCTAAAGACTAATATAACGAACTCAAGGTTATTCACTTCAAATGATGGCATAAAAACAATCAGGTGTTATTAATCATCTAGTTGGATTAGCAAAACGCCTTACTCGAGTAGTTTACAAATTTTATGGAAAAATTTAGAAAATACGATTTGTTGGGCGGGGGGAGGGGGGTTGGGTTAATTACAAGTGTTAGATTTTTGTCACGAACCAACATTTGGAAGGGATAACTGAAAAAACAGCTAGAAGGACTGGAAAACTAACTGTTTCGTCCTAGTTTGAGACTCTTCATATAACAACAGAAGACAAGGGCCAGCCAGGCAACAGGTCGTTTATTTACGAAATCAGCACATATTTACAGATTTTCATGTACTTATTATAGATTATTGTTAGCAGAAGAACACAATCCTCTGATTGGTTGTTATCCTTGCATCTCTTTGTGGCTGTTTCTTGAATGTCAAATCACCTATATTTTAACTGTATCCGCCTACGGAAAGCCTTTGTTCTGATTTATCTCACGACCAATATTGGCGACGTAAACATTGACGTAAATTACTGTCCACCAATTTCGGCTAACAACCAGCTCTCACCACAATAGAACTCAAGAACTTCAAATGATGAGGTCAAGCTCATGGATTATTCATCAACTTAGGCTGGAATTCACTGACTCGTAAATTCGAACTTTGTCAACCTGTGATACATAGTGCTACCGTCATTGATGTCTTCAATGAGTATCCATTTAATATTGACATCCAGACAAACAAACAGCAAATGGGAAAAAAGCACTACTCTACAATCAAGTTTATCTTTATAGATCACTATTTTAACTGTTTCTAACCATAAACCACTTTACAGCTAGTATCAGTATCAGTTATCAGAACCGTTGAAAACCAGTAGAGGAGTACTGGAGAGCTGCTTTTTCATCCTAGTTTGTGTTAGTTTGCCTTTTGACCAGAAGGTCCTGGGTTCGAACCCTGGCTGTGAGTCAGTATTACCGACGAGTTTCAAGTACAAGGATGAAACAACTGTCCGAGACTCATTGGCTGGTTTTCAATGCTTGTCTAACTGATATCGGTCCATGGTCAAACTTAAAACCAATCAAATCCTTACAAACAAACTCTTAAAAATTATAGTTAATAATTCCTAATTTGAGGTAGATTACCTTCAACAGTCTTTTTCCCAGAAGCACAGTGTTTTTTTGTTTTTTAGAATTTTACTGCGGTCGACTTTGTTGTTTAACAAAAGCTTCAAAACATAAAAAGAATTCTAAAAACCGCATTTATACCATTTATACCAAAGGCATTTATGCATTCTGTATGTGTGCTCAAAAATATAGATAGTCTTGACAAGATATTCTCATTTGTCTCAGGATTTTTTACAAATTACTCTGTAAATTACACAAAATGACACGTGTTGATTAACTCTGACTGAGATTAAACATGAGCAATAATCATTTAAGATGAACTACGTTTGTAGTCATTAACCGCCAGGCGGACAGACAAACACACACACACACACGATTTAGGAGAGAAGCAGAACATCTTTTTCAGTAATATTATTTATACAGATACATGTGTATATCACCTTAAAATCTGTTCATGTGTGACGAATTTATCACATGTACAGAGTGAAATGATGAGCTGCCAAAATATCCT